CATATCCACCGGCTGCGGCACCCGCGGATAGCGCAGCTCGTGGCCGCAGGCGGGGTCCAGCAACAGCAGGTCACCTTCCACCTGCTGAAAAACCATTGCATGTGGGAAAAAATGTGGGGAAAGATCTCAGAAAATATGGATGGGAAATAATGGGAAATAAATGTATGCAAAAAATATATGGACAAACAAGAAAAGGAAGACAGATGAAAAACAAGATGAACAAATCTGGAAATAAACTACCTAGAAAACTATGTAGAAATTTGAATGAAGGAACAGCTGTGGATGATTTTTTCTCTACATTCTGGTAGATCCAGTACCCCGGATGAAGATCAGCACCTCCTCCTCTTCCATGGCCTTTGGGGAACGTCCAGGAGCTTTGGAAAAGTCCGCCTGGCTTTGAGCCAGGGTGTGGTGCCAAGTGGTGCGGGAAACCAAAGGGGCACCATCCCCCATGACTTCGCCGTTTATGCTGGGGGTTCAATCCGTAGGCTTTGGGATTTATATGGATTTATATGGATTTATATACCATACTTTACCAGGATCAATGGCTTTCAAGCACCAAATGTCACATCTTAAGTTGGGATGTGGCCTCTGGAGCCCGATCTTTCACCAGCTCCAAGTCTGGCAGAGAGTAGGAGAGACGCAGACTGGGCCGTGTGCGGCAGAAGTGTCTCACTGCCAGCCAGCGCCAATGCTGTTCCTTCTCCTGGTGAGATTTCTACTGGGAATCCAGCCTGGTTTGATCGGCCTGGTGCAACAAATCAGGTATAATCAGCTCCAACATTACCAGCAGCTGACGCTCCCAAGATCACCATGATCACCCTAGAATTCTATTAGAAACCCATCTCCTTCCATTCGTCAAAGTCCAAGTTCCGCGCAAAGTTTTGGCCCAGCGGTTCGTCCAACTTTGGCCTTGCCCGCGACGTGGAAAAAATGGCACAGGTGAGTAGCAAAAACTTCCCAAGGCCTTAAAAAATGGCCCATATCGTTACCCATACAGCCTCCCAAAGGTCAGCCGGCAACCCTCAGTTCATCCTACTCTTGCGGATTCAAGCCCTGTGTGCAGCAAGGTCACAGATACAGGCGCCAAATGTCTTCCGCAGACCAACTTCGTTTCAATGGTGGCTGATGAGGTGGTTGAATAAACCTCACAGGGGCTCTGATTCGACAAACTTCTGGATTGGGGTGGTAGGCTTGCTGTAAATGGGTCAAAAAATGGGGCCTTTTTTTTGCACCACTAACATTGACTCACAACCTCTGACAACAGTTGCCAGCATTGTTCCCACCAAGATATGATTCTGGCGTTGGAAAAAGGCACCGCTTGTGGATTTCCAGCAGCCGTTTCTTGGATCAATGGATCTTGAAAACTGCTCCGGTTCTCTAGGCACAACAGGCACAACAGGAAAGTCCGAACACTTCTAATAAACTTATTACATCTTGTTACCATACTCACTATACACATGTATTTCACACACACACACTTGCTCAGAAATGCAGCATTCGAACACCTACCCAACCCCAAGTTGCTGTCCCAATAAAGGCGTGTTGAAACGCCATGATTCTGCATGGTGTGCCCTCACCCATGTCGCCGTGGCACGCCCGCGGTCTGTTGCGGCGCAACAGCAAATCATCCTCGACGCCCAGCATTGCGCGATCGTCCAAACGCCAACGCCCAAAGCGTGTGTAGTGCTGGGCACGCTGGGCCGTGGCAGATCAAAGGAATGACTTAAATCGCACGACCGTGACATGCGCTGATCAAATTCCAGACCAAATTTTCTGGTGAAAAGTGGGGTCGAATGTGGTCGAACTTGTCCTGGAATTAGCCTTGATTGGCATTCGAAATGGATGTTCCGTGGTGGGAAAATGAACGAACTTCATCTTCCCAATCACAGGAGCTGACCAAACTCAAATTCTACAAGCACCAAATTAATCTTCACGACAGCAAGTCACCGTTTCATCAGAGTTCCACCCTCCACCAGTTCCACTCACTCTGCACAGCTCTGCACAGCCCATACCCCCTTTGTACAGTACCAAACCAGTTCTATTGACTACAGACTCTAAACCATTATCTAACATACCCTCCGGCAATCAAACGTGGTTTGCTGGAAAAATCCAAAATGTGGTTCGGTGATCTTCCGCCTAGAAACCTCCATTTGGTTCGAATATTATCGAATATCATAGAATAAAAAATACACTACCGATGTTCCGTTCGAATGAAGTATCATGTAGAATATCAAATATATACCGGATCATATATTCATATTATATATACCCTCTGGTTATTTAACATAGCCATGGAAAATCACCGTTTTTTATAGGTAAACCATCTATAAATGGGCCATTTTCCATGGCTATGTTAAATAACAAGAGGGTATATAAATATATTATACCTGTGATATCCTGTGATATACCCGTGATATTCGCCTTGTGCAGTCCCACGAGATGCTCGGCTAGTCCTTCTGGTCTTGGGCGCCAGGGCAGCACCTCCAGGTTTCGGGGCCGTACAGCTGTGGCAATAGAAAGGCAGGGAAAATATTAGGGAAAATATGAAAAACATATGAAAAACATCGGAAAATACCTGAGAAAATATGGGAAACATATGAGAAATGCTGGGAAAACATGTCGTAAATCCAGTGTGGAAGTTGATGGGAAAATCATCAACTAAATGGGGGGTGAAAAACTAAAAAATTGCCACGTTTGATGACACTGGAGATGATTCAAATTGAATCAACTTATTGGTTTACCCTCTGGTAATTTAAGTGACACAGCGATGGAAAATCACCATGGTCGAAAATCTGGATAAATCATCGAAGTGTTCGTAGGCTATTCTCATCTATTTTCTACAGCTATGTTAAATGACCGGAGAGTAAGCGACTTATGCCTCCAGTCACTTGCTTCATTTAACCATTAATCCCATGGTTCACAGGAATTGACGCAATTCCTGGGCGTTCCTCGTGGGACTGTCCCGTGCTTAGACAAACCAAAAAGAAACACATTGTCAAATTATCACCTGATCACCTGTGAAATGTGTTCCATTTGTAGTTATTTATAGATGGTTTTCCATGGTTTTCCCATCTCTTTTCATAAAAAATAAACCATATTCAGGTGATCCTCTTCAATTTTTTAGCCAGTCAAGATTCGAAAAACAAGAAGTGGTTTTCGTGAAGATTTGGAGCATCGACACTTTGGGATTTAACCATTATTAACCATTATTAACCATGGTTTCATCCCATCAACTCCAACACTTGCTCTTTGGGGGGATCACCCTCACCGACACGACCGGGGCCCCCGGTGCACCTTACGATCTGGCCGACTGCGCTGCAGGATGCAGTCGTCCTCCTGATAAGTGCCAGGTCCCACACGAGCACCTGGCAAACTCGGTAAACGGACGGTCGACTTGAGATGTTGATGGGAAGGCATCATCGACAAGTGGGGATAGAAAAAACAGGAAATAAGGATATCCATTCATCCATTCATCCATCTAAATAATATGATGTTAAGAAATCAATGAATTTCAGTGATGCACTGAAGTATGTCCCTTAACATTTTCAAAGAGACGGGTCGTGAATAGTTAATGTGACAAGCGAGAGTAGAGTCCGGTCTGACGAGCAATCAAAGTCAAAGACGAGCCACGTTGGGCAATCAGCATGCTTTGCTACACCTTGAGGCTCTACCACACTCTAGATGCGCATGCGATATCATGCGATCACAACCTAAATGCATGGGTTAACCTGTTGCAATGCTTCCAGTCCTGCACTAACAATATCCTTAGTGTCTCGGTGTGATGTGTGATGAACATTCAGTTTTTTTTCATTTTTTTTCGCCATGTCTCGCCATGTCTCGCCTGTTCCAGCAGCCGGTGCCCGATGCTTCATGATTTGCAGTGCTCGCAAGGCTTCTTCGCTTTCCTGGCGCCACGGGATGCCCCGTAAGGATCAGCATCTGCTTACGCGAAACCGAAAAATCGTCCGGAAAAATCGTCCTGGATAGATCTGTGATAGATCTGACATGATCTGACGATAAGATCTATGATATCTATGATCTCTTCCTTCCACAAAATTTACAGGTCAACGTCCCATCAGTGTGCTTCCCTCCCTGTCACGCTTCCCTCCCTTTCCTCCGGCAGGATCAGAGCATTGGGAACTCGTGGTTCGACTTGATCGAAGTTCAACTCCAAGGTATCGTAGCCGGCGATCTGCATCGATCCAACGAAACCAAGGAACCAAAGGACACAACGAAATCAACAAAGGGTTCAAAAAAAGGTGCATCCCAGATCTAAAACAAAAAAAAAACCTAAATAAATCATAATAAATCATAATAAAACTAAACCACGGCGTTTTTGTTCCACCACAGAAGGCCCCAGAGAATCCAAGGAGCATAGTCTGGACACTGTTGATGTTCCATGACGTCGGGACGCGGCAGCCCGAACTGGCCACCGGGCGCTCGCGGATAGAGCAGCGCCTAGCAACACGGCAACGGCTCACCATATTTGGGACCAAACTTGGATGTGCATCCCACCTAGTAAGTGGTGTATAAATCCATATAATCATATATATATATATAACCGAATATAACCCGTATAATCCCATTTAATGGGATTATACGGGTTATATAATTTATATAATAGAGTATTCCATTTATTATATATATATATGTATACACACACATATAACTGAGGCATGGCCCATTTACTAAGTGTGGCCTGCACCCCCAAGTAGAATGGTGCCTCAGAGGCTCGCAAGTCGTATTGCGCAGGGCCAGGTGCCACAACCTGCGGCCGCGAGCACCCCCTGGGGTGGCTAGTGTGGCTAGTGCGGCTAGTGCGGCTAGTGCTGGACCTCTCCACAGAAGCAACGTTCTGTGAGGCAACTTTTTGAGGAAAGCCATCAGTTTCAGGATCCACTGCCACCCTATGCCCTGCCTCTTCCTTCACCCCTTCACTGGGTGGCGCAATGAGTGCGGCCGGTCCACCTGCCAGTTCCATCAGCTGTTGAAATAGCAATATGTATGAAATAACCCACATTTACCCTCTGGTAATTTAACATAGCTATTGAAAATCACCATTTTTAATGGGAAAATCCACTATTAATGGTCATTTTCAATAGCTACGTTAAATTACCAGAGGGTAGATGCTTGGGTAGCAGAACCCCCTCACACAAAATGGACCAAAAATCAGGGACGATCATCGCTGACAGCACAACGTCACAATCGCAAGTGCTGAAGCGAAGCCTGGTAGAGCAGGCAGATCATAGTCGCCAGGACCCGGGACGTCCTCCTTCTCCAAGGCTTTCAATCGGCCAGTGGCTGGGTCACGTGCCCACGCATCGTCCTGTGCCTATCATGGAAAGGCGGAGTAAGAAAGCACTGGGTGGGTGGCTAGGGCCATAAGGATACATATTCCCACATATATATATATACATACATATATATATATATATATCCATACATCTCCATATATCTCCATCATACATCCTTGTACAATCATTTCACCCATATCGAGGCAAAAAAAACATCACACTTATTTTGGAAAACCCGGTGATGTCCACTGTCCATTGTCCGCGGCGCTCGGACCCGCCTCCGTCACTTGAAGCACGTCCAAGGACTCCGTCGCTTCGAAGCACGGCCCCAGTGGCCGCTGGGCGGAGCAAGCGGCATCCAGCTGGGAGGCAGTTGGTCCTCGGCTAGGGATGCTATGCTAACTATGAGCGGAAATTTCCAGGAAATTTGAAGAGTGATTCTGGGATGAAAATCATGATTGTTTCCGGATATCCACTGGTTGTTTTTGATGGGTTCGATATATATATATATGTATAATCCCCAATCTTGGTGTCTATAGCTCCAGTATCAAATCATTTCCAAAGATAGATAAAGTGTGCTTACATCCCCATATGCATCCCGTAAATCAATGGACATATGTTCGCCCTCGGTGTTCCGGTGTTCGGCCCAAGGCACTTCTGGGTCGTGTGCTGTGCGGTGGCAAAATCTTCCCACCAGGACATGTGAAAACCGAGCCTGTCAAACGATGGATGGCAACGTTCAGGGATGGCGAAGCTAATCTGTCTACTGGGGTTTATTATTTTTTGTATATCGACATATCGAACATAAAAATATCATCATTCTTATATTCTTGATATTGTTAGTCATATAGCGCTGACTGTTTTTCCGCAATTCCATTTTTCAAACATGGCTGCTCAGCTGCTGGCCATGGGACATGGCCTTGACATCCATCATTGGACAGCGGCGAGACTGAAGCAGTATCATCAGCACGCTCAGGTTCATCCTGCAGAGGGTGAAGTTTTATGAAGTTGTGAAACGCTTGTGGCGAAAAGTTCGAACATGGATATCAGAATGATCTCAGAATGGCCTTTCATGTTTTTTCATGTGTGTTCTGCTCCAACATATCCAACCAATCTGCTCCAACCTGTCCAAGGTCTCACCAAGATACCAAGTCCAGGGCGGCTCCTCATGGCGCTCCCGTGCACTGTAGCGCGAGAAGCTTGGTGCACCTTTGGCTAAGTTGGGCCGCAGCACCTCATAGTTCCTGGCGATGTGGGTCTTCTCTGAGTCCCTATAGAATCATTATAAAGTCACTAAAGAATCAATATATGTCAATAAATCATTTTGAATCATGATGAATCACTATGAAACTCTACGAATCACTGCGAATCATGATGAATCGTTCTGAATCATTCTAGAATCCCTATAGCCCTATAGAACCCCTATAGAATATTATAGAATCATGATGAATCGTTGTCATTATATGAACCTCACCATGAATCTCCAAGCGAGCCGCGGAGAGTAGGATCCAGGGCCCGGAACCAGCGAGGAGCTGGCTGAAGCAGCCGAAGACACGGAGAGGAGCCTCGCGGCTTCTCGCAATTTGACAGAAGGGATAGAAAAAGCGCTGCTTGAAGCATCAAAAATGCTGGATTTCATTAGTATGTATATATAGTTAGTGTGTGCATATATATATATATATATACTGTGTATATATATATACAGTAATACACACATACATCATGTATTATGGTAAACGGGTTTCTCTTAAAGCAATCGTATTCCAAACGGCTGTAACTCCCAAGAGAAGGGTAACCCCCTCTGAACCAGTTCTTGGATAGACCTGGAAATATGTATCAAAATATGGCCAAATTGGGACCATTGCCGACCATTGCCACCCATTTGAGATATTTTGAGATTGTCTGAAGAGACTCAGAGTTTTTGCGTGTTTGGCCGGACCCGGTGAGTGTGAATATGTTGCTCATTCACCATCACCCACCACTCGCAATCCCAAAAATTATGTGCGGTCATCGTCATCGTCATCGTCATCATCATCATCATCATCATCATCATCATCATCATTTCTGCCATCATCTTCCATGGATGATTCATCCATCAATTGGTCTGTTGCTGCAAGAATCCAGCAACCCAAGACTCAACCATCACTCTAGACTCATGTCTTGACCTGTATTTAGATTATACATTATAATACATTGTAATTGCTTAGCAAAAAAAGATTGGAAAATCCTCAGTGATGGTTGATGGAAAACCAATTTTTTCTCTGAATATTTTAAAGTGTTGAGTGTTTTACCTTCAGTGGGACTTGCCTTTTCTGCATCGTTTTTCCCTCCGGGCAGCTCGGACAGTTCGCTCCCGGCATCGGTCGAGGCATCGTCGAAGTTGAGCGTTCGCTCCTTACGCTGCTCCTCAGCCAGTAAGGCCTGCGCCGCCATGGCTGGGTGGTGATGAAGCCATGCTTGGAACATGTCCACTCAATCAGTGCTTTTTGGTGGTATAAGTATAGGGATTCTATAGGAACTGATGCGGGTTGTGTTATCTGTTATCTTATGTACACGGTCTTACAGATCTATAACCACAACTGCAGCCCTAAGTCCCAATAACGTCGCTGAACTCCTTACAGGAATGATGGAAGATAAGTCAAATTTGTACCAGTAACCAGGTATAGTTTGGATCCGCACGGAGGTTTCCGACGTGATGGGGGCATCCCCAAATCATCCAAGTCATTAGACCATGACTTAGTATTGAAACCCATTGTGTCTTGGGGATCCCCCATGACTTAAGAAACCCCTATGTCGTCCATATTTGTCAGAGATTACCTTTCACAAACTCTTGGACGCCTACCACCCTAGCGTTCTGGGTGAGTCCAAAGCAATATCTACTGGTGAGTTTCCGAGGATAGGGAAGTGTATTTGCAGCAGCCTAGTAGAGTCACCCCAGGAATAAACCCCTACGATTAAATTGGTCGGTTACCCACAAAATACACACACAAAATGCTGAAATTCAGTGGCATATTCAAATATTAACCCCCCATGCTAATAAACTGGGGGTTGGCAAAAGCTTTGGATTACCAGGCGTAAGATCTCTCCCAGGTGCCAAAAGTACGGTCCTGCCACGCGGCAGTGATGGCTGATAGGGATCCAGCCGACTGCAAAATCTCAGAGGCTTCCTAACGAAGCTAGGAGCAGGGAAAAGCCATCTGCGAATTCAACAGTTTGCTTTCGGAAATGGCCAAGAAAATAGATTCTCTGCCCATTAAGAATGGTGATTTGTCATGGCTTAGCAAACGATTAAATGTGAAAAGAAAAACACTGTAGCTAGACGTGTTTTTCCTGTGGAAACTGTGCATCAATCTCGTTTTTCCCCTAACTCCACTTGGTGAACAATGGTTGTAATTTGGGGGGCCACACCCATGCAGTGCATTGCAGTGCTGCCTTGCACTTGCTTTGCTCCGCGATGCTCTCCAGCCATCTCTTGGCTTCCCAAATCTGTCTCGGTTTTACAGAGTCGCTGTGTATCTTGGCACCTGGGCACTGCATTTTGACTGAGTTTTCCTTCCCTTTCCAGGTCGACAGTTTGGCATCAGCAGAGCGCCTTTCGCCACGGTAGTTGTAGAGAGGCAATCATCCGCTGGATTCAGCAGGAAGTCTCCTTCAATCTCCTGGTTTTGAAACGACCATCGAAGGGGACGAGGAAACTGACCGACTGAAACGACACGTGACGACATGCGGAGATAACAGGATTCCGATTCCTAAGTTTCGAATTGCTGGAACATATATATATATATATACATATATATATATATATTCATGAATCGAATCAAATTAAAGCCATTGAAAATCCTGTTTTTTATGTTTTTTTCTGGTTCAAGTTCCATTTTCAATGCTTCAACCATCATGGCAGGCCTGGCGTGTCTCAAAGCGCCGCGCAGAGCCAAAAGTGCTGGGCCGCCCTTTTGGCTCTGACGTGGCGCCTGAGGCGATGAAGCAACGGATGATGCCGACTTAACCAACTAGAATTGGGATTAACATGGATTAACAAACAAAATTTGAAACTAACTTGGGACTAATTTGGGACAAAACCATGTAGAATATCTAGAATTGGAATTGAATCAACCAGAAAAATAAGGATGTAATGATTCATACCACCAAAAGTCGTGGTTTAACCCAACGAAAATTGACATTTAACTAACAAAAATGGTGATTTAGGCATCCTGACATGGGAATATGAACTTTGCCGATATCATCCAATATCATATGATGAACCCCCCCATTGCTGCCCGCAAAATGGGGGAGGGATTACTTGTTCCATAGCTCTTGTTGCCAAATCAGGAATTAACATATAGCAACCCCAACAAATATACAAAGGTAAAGTCCCATTATATAATGTGTAATAGCCAATTGCTTTTCCGTCTTTTTGAGGGTTGCCATAAATAAACCCACTTTCCCTTACCACCATTTAATTTATGGTTTGGCCAAGTCGCCAAAAAAAAACCTTGCCCAGAAGGGTAGATCATGTCCCTAATCAATGGAGATCGGCCGTTGGGTAATCCAGTGGACGATCCGCACATGGAGACTTGCCCTTGGAAATGAAGTCGAAGAACTAGGGAAGTGGCCCCAGTTAACCCTTCAATGTGGAGCAACTGGGGAGCACCAAATTTGGATCATTTTTAGTGAACTTGAAAGACTGGACCTGGTTCCCAAGACGAGGTTTCGAGAACCCAGCCTCAGGTGGTACTTTATAAGAGCAATGAACATCCTCTCTTGTAGATACCCTCCGGTAATCAAACATGGCAATGCAAAAAAACATTTAAAAAAAAACACTATTTATAGATGAGGTTCACATTAAAACCTCCATTTACAGGGAAAAATCCTACGAAAGCATTGTAAAAATTGGATGAAAGGGGAAAGCGTCCATTGCCATGTTTCTTTCCCAGCCTCGGCCAAGAGCAGGCCTGCAACAGACAATTTGGCAAAACAGGGACCCTTCTGGGATAATTTATAGGCAGGGGAACCACATAATTACAGTAACAACCATCCGAATTTCACCAACTCTCCCCAAACAAACTCAGAACCAGCAAAATCAAAATCCGTGACCCCCAACCCGCTCTCTTTTTTGTCCATTCCGCCATCCGATCATCCCGTGGCTTCCCACAGCCGATCACCAGGGGCGCTGCCCTCCCACGTTGCGCTTGCGGAAGATCCAATCTTCGATGACGACAAAGTCCAAGTCAGGCAAATCGTCCAACATGCCTCACGACACCCGAATTCTCAGCCCTCTCACGTGAAAGGTTCCATCAGAAGTTTCAAGTGGGTATTCAGGGCGGTCAAAGCCATACAATGATGCAAAATAATGCAAATCATCAATCAATCTTCTGGAGATTGACACCAACTGCCATTTATGGCACCAGCTTATCTATCATCACGACAGGGAAAGGGCTCGACCTATTTGAGTATACTTCCATGTATTGCACCAATTGGACACGTTGACTGGCCATAGGCTGGCTCCACTCGACTAGCCCCCCTATCGTGCCCCTGCTTGCGCAGAGGAATGCATCAGAGCTGCTCAAACATTCGCTTATTTTGTTTACGATGGGTTTGCCCTTGGTGTTGAAGCTCGTGTTGATGAGTGCAGCCTTGGAAAATCTGCAGAAAGGAAGCAGATGGCAAGCCGTTCTGAAAAATCAGGTTCCTCTTTACCACATTCTGATGCATTGATTGTAAAATTGCAAATTCTTGACTGAGAAATTACATATAAGGAAAATATGTGAAGATGTGAAGCCTGTAAAGCCTGATAATCCTATAAAGCCTCTCGAATAGAATGAGAAATCAAATTTGCTACGTCAAAGCAAGGCTCCCCCGATCAAGTCTGATGCTGGCGTTGAGTATGAAAGAAATCGTCCAGAGAAAAACGTGGAAAGTCAGTTACAGGGATGTGTTTTGTCCATGATCCAGTGGGTACTCCCAACAGTTGAGTATATGGACTTCCAAGACACTGTTTCATGATCTATTCTCCGAGCGGGAGACCAGTGAGTTTGGGACAGTTTGGGCATCCTCCCATTTGTGGACATAACCAGCTGATGTTTCGCTATGTTTCGCTCATACTGGCGATGGTTCCAAATGTTGATTTCTTCTCAACAAATTGGCTGTGACAATTCTGCTCCCCGCAAAACATCAGATTTCCGGCTTAAAGATCCAACAACAGATATTTCTTCTCTTTCAAACTTTTGGATCCCCATCCCCATCCCCAATCTTTCCCTGTCATCCTTAAGAATCGAACTGATCAAATCCATCCCCAAGGTCCCCAACGTCCCCCAGGTCCACCAGGTGACCAAGCCCGTTCGCTTCCCCACCGCCATCAGCAGGGCATGGATCCAGGGCTCTTCCGTCCGTGCCACCGACTGATGCCGCGCCGTGCCGTCCAAATGGGAAAGCGCCGGGAAGCTGCGACGGGTCTCGGGCAACACCTGGGGGGCCATGGTCCTTGGCATGGCGGGGCATGGGAAAACATGGGAAAACATGGGAAAACATTGGGGATTGAGGGATTGAATGGGGAATTGAGATTCGGATCATGTGATTCTTGTGACATGGCGTGTGTTAAAACTGGAGAATCCCTAGGTGCAGTGCCATCTAAATGGCCAAAAGGATGATGATCCATGAGAGTTAAGGTGGGGGTGCGCCATTTTCAGACAAAGCCATATTGGCCAAGTCGTGGTCGGTCCAGTTTCTGGGTGATATGAAGGATTTTCCACAGGCTATGTGGCAATTACAGATACTCCTTCGGGCTCTGAAAAGTAGCCATTCTCTCTCTCTCTCTCTATATATATATAATACTATCTTGTATATAATATATATATAATAGTTATCATTATTGTTATGATATATATAATTATTGTTATTAGTAACATTATTATCATTATTATTATTATCATTATTATTATCATTATTATTATTATCAATATTATGTTTATTATTATCATCATTATTATTATTATCATTATCATTATTATTATCATTATTATTATCATTATTATTATTATGTTCATTACTATTATTATCATTATGATTATTATTATTATCATTATGATTATTATTATCATCATGGCTATTATTATTATCATTATTATTATCATTATTATTCTTATTATCATTATTATTATTACTATTGTTATTATATATACTATAATTTATTATATTAAAACATATTATATATGATGTATGAATGTATATCATGTATTGTGTATGTCTTGGAGGACTCTCCGAGAGAGGCCACCAGCAACATCCTCAATGGTTTTGTGATCAATTTGACATGAATTTGCGCCAAAAGGGGCTCACTTCCTTGAACTCAACAAAATTGCTAGGATTTGGGGCTTCCAGAGTGTATATATGCATTTATTTCTTTATCTATTTACTTATTCTATTTATCTATTTATCTATTTATCTATTTATCTATTTATGTAATCATTGAAACAATCCTATCTATATTATATGTATTGTGTGTGTGCGTATGTAGATAGTGGGGGGTCCGTCCATACCATTTCTGGTGGATCCAGGAAAAATCTGTGTCCCAAGTCTGCCAAGATGCATGAATGGGGACGAGACATGACGACCAAAGACCTGTCCCAGCGCTTCCTGCGGCCATTCCAAATTCGGAACATGGCCATGCGGACTCCCAGGTGTCAATGGCGGGTCTATACGCAATTTTTATAGGAAAAATGATGATCAGTCATGAGTTTTGTGGGGTTTCCCCTTGAATTCTCTCAGAGAAACTGAAAATGTTCTGCTTGTAGGAATACAAGTTCAGTGGGGCATCATTCTTCCGAAATGAAAATGACCAAATTGCTGCCTTCACCAAAGCTTCCCAGGAAACTGGAATGGTGCATCTCCAGACTCCCTTGGTCGGACACTGCTACACTGTGACTGATATAACCACCTCAACAGCAGCGAAATCCGAAATCGTGCTGAATCCAAGAAGTTCAAAAATCCTCCAGGGTCATCTGCAAAAATACGAAACCTTCCAGAAACACAAATCATGGCCATCTGGCTACCCCGTCATGAATTTGGAGGTCAAAATCATCGAAAATCTCCACTTTCTCCAGATCCATATTGATGAGCTGTACCATGCTGTACCCATAGAACTAATGGCCATTGAGAATCACTTTGACGGTGAAAAATGAGGTTCTAAAGCCATAGCACTTTGTGGGTTCTAAAGCCATTTTCCACAAACCCCATTAACCCCATTTAAAGAAAACCCTCCTTCCTCAAAATGTGGCTGCAGAGCAAAAGATTGCAATATCTATTAAGCTTTAGCTGGGGGGAAGCTATTTTTGCTATAGAATCCTGTGGTTTTCCGGCTAAGTAGCCAAACTTGGCCTCAACATGGCCCAACATCGGCCCAACATCGGCCAACATGCCTCACCACAGGCCCAACACACCATAGGCCCAACATGGGCGCAACATGCCTCAACACAGTGACCAGTATTGGCACAACACAGGACCAATGTGGCACAACATGGGCCCAACATGACCCAACATAGGGCCAACATAGGCCCTACATACTCCCAGCATGAGCCCTACAAAGGCCCAGCATAGAACATGTATGGCTTGTGGGAACTCCGGAGCTAAACACTCCAATGCAGGCGGTTGTCGGGAAGCAGAATATAATCCTTCCCCATGGCCCTTGGCTCCTCAGCAATCATGGGCGCCACGGGGCGGTACCACTGTCGTGCCTTGAGACGATTCATGCGCTCGCGCATCTGGTGGCTGTCCGGGACCGCCAATAAGGAGCGATGCCCCAGGGCCCGCGGACCAAATTCCTGGCGACCTCGGGAACGTGCCAACGGCCCCGCAACGTGCCAGGTATGGTTGGCTCACCAAGTGTGATGTTAGATTATAGCATGATTATAGCCATAACATGCTATAACTATAGCTATACAGACTCGCATTCTTTGGGGACAATCATCTATAACAGCGACATGGCAGTGGCCATCGACCCCTTGGAAGGTCAAATCACCAGCAAGAAATGGAGCTTTCCATAGTCATGGCTACCCCAAGCTCGCTGGTTGATCTGGTGTATTTCATGAATCCGAACATCAAATTTGGATAAATTTGGATGAGAACTGGGTAACTGGGGGTAGCCCCATTAGGAAATTTTCATATGGGGATGATGGAGATGTGTCAGTTGATTCCATCTCACATGGTTCAGTCATTTTCGATGGCGGTTCCGCGGAGCTCCGCTTCCCGGCCTCGCACCACGGCCACAATCGGCTTCTCAGCACTACTATTGCGCTGCCTGGAATCCCAGCTGGGTCAAGGTTGCTGACTCGCCAGGACTGGAGCTGGCAAATTTTGATACTCTCTGGCCTGGTAAACTAACACAAAAAGCGAACTGGAAAATGGCCCAGTCGAAATACTTGATTTACCCATGAATAACATGGTGATTTTCCATAGTTTTTTGTATGTTCACCAAAGCGTCTCCATCTCCACGGCCTTGCTTTTAGTATATGGTTGACATCAGTCCCATCAGCCTGAGCCAGGGATCACCTCCAGCCAACAAATCGGCCAAGTATTCCACCCCTCCCAGGCTCGAGAGACGCTTCGCACCTGGAAAGCACTGGAAAAAATGCCGGGAACCATCTGATTTTGGGTAAATCGTGTTGAGAGATGTAAATCAATCAACATGGGTACTGAAGCAAACATGGGCGTATGTGTTCCAGGTCTTTCGCCTGTATGAAAAAAATACGGTGGTGCTTCCGAATCATCCAAAAATTGACCAGTTAAACAGTTTATTTAGTCATGTTTAGTCTAGTATTAAAGCTACATTTGAAAGCCAATGGTTTTTGATGGGCTTGGCAATTCCCCCATTGATCCATCAAGAAACATCTGGTTTTCGCGCCTCTGTTTCTGGCATATCGTAGCAACCTGCCTTCATCCCATAAGGGAAAGCCCAGGTATTGCAGCGGTTGTCGCACCTTTGGAGGTGCTACGGACCAGGTGGCCCCTAAGCTCAGTCCGCTGTCATTGGGTGCAGGTGGCACATAGACATCCAACACTGAACCGGCCGAACCGGACGAGCCATTGGTGACCAAGTCGTAGATGCGTTGATTTGCCAGGACGTTCAGAGCACAGCCGCCTGTGAGGGCAATACCCTCAACCTGGGGAGCGGAGATTGTCAAGTTGAGGCTCCTGCTTAGTTTCCCAAATTGGGGCGACACATGTTTGAAGCTTTTTGGAAATCTCACCTCCTGGTGACCCACATGCTCCAGAAGAGCTTTGACTCGCTCTTCCACAAAATTCTCAAACTCCAACTGGATGGTGGCACCCAAAGCACGTTGACCTTCCACGGATTCACAAGCTGCACGCAGCAGCGGCGCGGGATAATTGCCATGCCCTGGGCTTCCAGAGACTTCCAGGTAGAAACGCACCAAGGGCCGAAGATCTTCGATGGGTTCCGCGATTGCGGCATATCCCATCAACCTGGGACTCCACCCGGGACAGAGTTGCAACTTTTGTCACAGTTGTAGCATGGTGGCAGGGCAATCTGGAAAAAAGTCTGTCATTTTGAGATGTTTCCAGTAGCAACATTGTTACAAGGTGGTGCCCCCAAGATAGCTAACTTGGTTTATAACTCCAATAACTATGGTTTATAGGTGATATATCTATAGTTAATCTTGATTCCTTACCCGAGACACTTCCCGGCCCAGGGCAAAGATGAATGCGTCGTGAAGTAGAGGGTGTGTGGGCCAACCATCTCGCCAACCTCACCTGAGTTTTTTGTTTTCCAAGGTGTTCTCACAATGAAGGTCCAATAAGGTCCATGTCAGATGTGTATAGTCTTGCACAATGCATGCAATGTATTAATATTATGCATGTGTGTATTACAGTAGGTAGGCATGTACGTCTGTATGTCTGCAGGTATGTAGGTAGGGAGGGAGGTATAGTACGAGTATGTAGATAGGGATGTTCTGTTCGGTTCTGTTCTGCAATGCAATGCAACGCAATGCCATGCAATGTATGTATATTAAATATGCAAATCGTATGCATACATACACATCATTACACATCCATGTATCTAGTTCATACACCGACGTTCCTGCTAAAAGGATGGCTTTTTCGGGCGCTTCGATTCGTTAGGTTCGATTCGTGGCAAGTCACTAACTTCAGTGACATTGATCTGGTCACAATCAAAAAAGGCCTCAAGGGGAGACCCGGTAACCTCGGGCAAGAGAGTGGCCAGCTGTTCATAGGCACTGCCCAAACTGTAGTCCAGTTGTGCGATCCTCTGCATTTTGTCAAAGGAACCCAGATAGACATTGAAGGTACCATCGTTGCCTCGGTTTTTTGGGAAACTACTGGGTACCCTTCGAAATCACATTTGCCATGGCTGAAATCATACCCTCAAAATGTTTATCAACATGTTGGAAAACTTATTCCCTAGACATATGGAACATGTTCCAACATATTCCAACATGTTCCAACATGTTCCATTGCCCCACTTCACAACCGCAACCCCATTTCCCTGAAATTTCCAAAAAAGGCACCGGTCGAATCGTAGGACACCACGAGAGCAGACCGGAAGGGTGATGAATAGTACGCTGCCAACGCATGGGCCTGGTGATGGTCGCAGTAGTGCCATCTGTCAATGCCTTGGGTCCCCATGGGTGGCAAGGCGGGGGACATCAATTCCAACCGTTCTGATCCAAGAACTTGTCGTTCTGAAATCATGAAAAACTGGCATCACGATTCATCAAGATTTATTGAGTATATCAACTGGCATCCTTCATACTACATATTTTTTAACATATCCGTCTACTATCTCTGAGAGTCATTGGGCACAGTGGTTCTGAAGAGACATCATGTTGTTTGTGAACCACCACAGGATGTATTCCAGTTGGCTGAAGGTGAGCCGCTAAAGACTTTCTCCGCCAGATGGATCAAAATGAATTGCTCTTGTGCAAAGCCAGGGAAGAGCAATACGGCATCCGTGAAGTGGGAAGGTATCCATCCATCCTCACAAACACACCTGGCCAGCCAAGGAGCCGATCTTCACCGGCCATCCATTTCAGATGTCTGGCCTCTAAAAAACCAGGAAACCCCATGAAATGTCCTGAAATCCTTCAGAAGTATCATGCTAATTCAGGATCAGTAAACTCTTGTCCATTGAATAGAGAGGCTACGAGTTTTACCAAAAACTCCGAGAGCTGAGCCTCCGCTGCACCGTCTTCAGTGCATGGGTCCAATCCTTTCGAAACTTCGTCCAGTCCTTCACCGGAGGAGCAAAGTAGCGGACTTCAAACAGCCGCTCCTGGCGGGTCAAAATTTCAGACTCGGACCCAAGAAAAGTTCAGAAATCCGCCCGCACCGAAGGTGCTGGGGCGTGATCGTCCGGATGGCACTCGTAAAAGGTTACAGGTTTACCTGGGGGGGGGGTCCCATTTTTCGGCCAAAACCTCTTGTTTTTGATAGGTCGTGACGCTCGCCTTCAAAAAACACTGTAAAAAACAGTACGGAAGACACCTGTTCGTGAACGCGCCCGTCCAAAATCGGCAAGCGAAAAGTGAAAAAACTCCGTGTTTTTCAATTTTTTGACCTCAATTTTTTGGTTTGCAACATCTTTTTTTGCGGTTCCGCAGGTGGCCTGGCCCGGAGGCGGATTTTTGAGTTTTTGGACCCGTTTTCGGACTGATTTTCGTCGTTTTGTGATAGCAGAAACACTGGTTTTTACAGTGTTTTTCTGTTTTCTGCATGCTTGACGGCTAGCTTCAAAACTTCCAAAAACCTCGTAAATTACGCTGTTTTATGTTACGGTGTGAATGAAAACATCGTAAATACCAGTGTTTTTTGACGTTGGTTTAAAAAAACACTGTAAATTACAGTGTTTTTGGCCACCTGACCCTCAAAAACCATGGTATTTGCAGTGGTTTCTGCTTCTCACCGCGCAAAAACACTGTAAATAACAGCAATTTCGCCGTTTTTCATGTTTTTCGTTATTTTTTGAACTGCGTTGGTCCGCTATACATGGCTATCAAATTCTTCGCGTTTTTTTTTTCCGACAATCAGTACTTTCGGATGTTTTTGGTCTCAATGGCCGACATCATTGGCAGTTACGATGCGGTGCGGGCGGTTGCCGTCGCGAAGCGACGTGAATATTTTTTTGTATGGACTATCAATTTCTTGGGGTACCCAATTTTATCCATACGTATATATACGTATGTATATACATACATACATACATACATACATACATACATATATATATATATATCTCTCTCTCTCTCTCTTCATCCATTGGCTTTGGGGAATTATATCCATCCGATCAAGGGGGGCACCCACCACCAGCTCCGCGCTCCAGTTCCAAAATGCACTGCACGCGGCCGTTGCGGGTGATGGCGATGCTGGAATCGTGGCCCATGTGCAGGGCCAGAATGGTCTGCTCTTCACTTTTCACCTGAGATTCGCCAAGTCCGCTAAGTCAATGACGGTCAGCGGTCACCTTCGGTCACCTTATGGGGAGGTTTCCAAAGTCATGTACCCCCGGTTACCCTCCAGTAAACAAACATAGCTATTGAAAATTGCCATTTATAGTTGATTTACCCATTCAAATTGGTGGTTTTCCATAGTTATCGAAGGGAAGTTTAGAAGTCAAACTTCCGACAATATGGACAGATGAAAAGCAGAGTAGGGCAGAGGCAGAGAGAAGAGAAAGATTAGAAGAGAGAAGAGTAGAAGAGAAAGAGTCAGAAGAAAGAAGATGCAGATGGGCGAAAAGGTAGAAAAGTCGCGAAACACTGTGTTTTTCCAATGAATTGTGGCTCCGGGGGGTCGAAAAGTAGGCTCGCTAAAGCGGCGGGTGCGGAGCCATCTGGCCAGATGAGAGATGAAAAATTGCACGCCGTTGTGGCGCGAAGCACGTTGCGAAGTCAAAATGTACAAAACACCTCAGCGTCGGACCACTTTTGGAAGTTGCGATGTCGAAAGAGTGCACGCCGTTGTGGCGCGAAGCACATTTTGAAGTCAAAATGCACAAAACACCTCAGTGTCGGACCACTTTTGGAAGTTGCGATGTCGAAAGAGTGCACGCCGTTGTGGCGCGAAGCACATTTCGAAGTCAAAATGTTAAAAACACCAGGGGTTCGGACCACTTTTGGATGCTCAGATGTCGTTCCGCGTGGCAGGTGCAAGGGATTGTCGATCTTGTGGAAAGTGAGGAGGGTTTTGTAGCATTTTCAACTACAACCACCACTACAGTCCAATACACTACACTATACACCTTCACTACATTACACTACACTACACTCCACTACACTACATTCAATTACATTCAATTACTCTCAATTACACTACACTACACTACACTGCACTTTGCTACACTGCACTACACTACACTACACTACATTCCACTACACTACACTACACTAACTACAACTACATCTACAACTACCACTACAACTACAACAATACTACATTTACACTACGCTACACTACACTACACTAATTACACTACACTACACTCAACTACACTACGCTGAATAACACTGCACTACACCTACAACTACAACTGCAACTGCAACTGCAACTACAACAATACTACATTTACGCTACACTACACTACACTAATTACACTTCACTACACTCCACTACACTACATTACACTACACTACACCTACAACTGCAACTGCAACTACACTACATTTTAAGACACTACACTACTGACATTACACTACACTACACTACATTACACTACGTCACACTAACTACAACTACAACTATATTATAAGACTACACTACACTACACTAATTACACCACACTGCACTACACGACAGAGAGAGAGAGATAAATGGATGCATAGATAGATAGGTGGGTAGGTAGGTAGGTAGATGGTCAGAGAAAGAGACAGAAAGAGAGAGAAAGAGAAGAGACCTCAACCACCTTTCGGTCCATCAGTGGCTTCGCTCTGCCATCCGTGGTTCACAACAACCAACCTCTCCTATAGGTTTCCTATTTTTGAAACTTCCGCCACCGCATTGTACTACTGGTATTAGTTTACCAGAGGGTATCATCCAGTCGTGGATGACCACTTCAGTTAAGCCGGTTAAGCCATGGTTTTCACACTGGTGGAATCCCAGGAATGGGAAGCAACATCCAAACACAACGACCACCGGAGGATCCGAAAAGATATTCATATTTTAAGAAACCTCACCGTTGTGTGTTTTACTGGGATCTTCTGGAAGTACTTCTTTCCATAGAAAATATGGCACCAACAGGAGCAGTCAGCAAGGGAACCTTGCCATTTCTATTGGTCCCAAACCCGACAATATTCCCATGCAAGTCCCATACCAGGCCATGTCTATATCAAGCCCCCAAAATAGAAACAGCCAGCAAAAATAAACAATGTCGAGATGTTCATCTCTGACGCACCCTGCTGTTCACCCCAAAAATCACTGGTATAGTTGGATGTTTATCCCAACATATACCAACATAATATCAACATATATTCAAATATGGTAGTTCATATATCATATATATATATTGGAATGGGATACAAATATTGGGAATGATATTGGATATGAGCTACCCTATTTTCATATTCAACCATGATATGTGTTGACGCATCCCCAATATCATTCAGAAATCCCATGATTTTCCCAAGGGACCTCCTTGGTGAGTTGTCCACGTTTCAACGGGATGGACGGGACCTTCAGGGTCGGCGAAGCCGTCGAATTGGCCACCAGCCAAGCACGCCGCACCTTGATGTCATTCAGGATCCTGAAATCGCTGGGTTTTTCCGAAGCCAGTGGATGTGGAAAATGTGGAAAATGAACAAATTGGCCATGTATGTACCTAGAAATATCTTGTGCATATCTGAAAATGTGTATGTACTTTAGCCATCGAAATACACAAGTATATATGCAGTTATATGTATATATATATACATGTCATATATTATATCAAAAAATGAATCATATATATATATTGTGTGGGAGGGTTTGAAGTGTGTCATGTCATACCTCCAAGGAAAATGAGCCAAGTGCTCCAAGGTTTTTTTCGGACAAGCGACGAGAATCTCAATAACGGGTCCAAGCTATGCTCCTGGTATCAGTGGTTCGGTCACGTTCATGTTTTACAGCATGACAAACCATGGAGGTATGATATGTTATATACAATATGGTATGCGATATGTATCTATATATACATATATGTTGTGTATATCATATCCATATCATACTTATATATATATATGTGTGTGTGTGTATGTATATATATATAATGATACTCCCATGATAAATGATGATCTATCGTAATGATATATCACTCTATCTATCTCTCTATGGGGGAAGTATCACGGAAGTCTCATGGAAGTATTTGAAGCTAGCCTCTCAAAGGCAACCTTGCCAACAGTCGTGATGCTTCATAAGAAGGGCCTGAATTGTTGGTGGAATGACTTTTGGGTACCCCGAAAAAACTTCCATGATTCTGGGTAAGTTGAATCGCGACCTCAGTGGAGAACCCCTGGCAGCGGCATGATGGTGAATCTAAGGGGATTGCCCAGATCAATCGCCATTAATTCAGGTGTGTGGATTATGATCATTGACCCAGATGGTCATAGTTGGCATTTTCAGTGGGGCTGCCTGTATCATCATTCACGAAAATTCTCATCACCTGGGTGTCGGTGTCATCATTCACTTTTTTTAATCATAGTGAAGAAATCGTCATAATCTGGGTGTCATCACTTTTTAATTATCATCTGGTGAAGATAGGGCTGCTTTTTGCTTGGCAGCGCTTGGCGGAACTCCATTCGGAACTCGCTCCTCCAAAAAGTTCTCCACTTTCAGCACCACATCTTCGGAGCCGGGGCGCCAGGTGAATGGAAAACTTTGCCCATCCACCTCAAGACGGTCACAAGATGGCCAATTTAAGGCCATATCATTATATATCATTATACATATATATATACACATATATATATACATATAAAGATATATACACATATACTGCGATTTTTCCATTTGAACACCCTTGTCCTTTAGGTTGATCAAAACCGTTCATCTCCAAGGCACCTTGGCTCGAGGCGAGCCAGTGGAGGGTGGGTCGTGGACATGCCTTCCGAGCCATAGCTGCGTAGTGACAGGGTCACTTCCTTTGATAGGATCAGGGCATCCTTGCTTGGCCATCTTGGCACTCCTGGCATTCCTGCCTTTCCGAAAGCCTGGCATGGCGTAGACTTCGAACCTTGGAACCTCCTGCGGTATCTGGGAAAACAAGCAGCTGACCGCTTTCATCCGGGTGACATCTTGGTTTTGGAACTGCATTCGCATTGGCAGCTGACATTCCCTTTTCATTTACATCAGGTTCACTGACTCTGAGTGTGCTGCCAACCACACTGGTAGCGGAGCCCCGCAAGGGGCATCCGGGGCAACGGTGACGACTGAATCTGGAGGTGGATCCAATGGAGTTAGCAACCAATTATCTTCACTGGTGCCTGGTTTTGATCCGGCAGTTGATGACATGTTGGTATACCAGCAGAAAGTGGAGTTGGTATTGGCCGCCTGGCCGCCTACGAAACTGAAAGAATTGGTCACCAGACTGATTTTCAACACCAAAGGGACTGTGCTTCAGAAATTACAGATACATCAGACTGAACTTCTCACAGGAGAAGAAGCTTCAGTTCACAAACTGGTGGAATTGTTGGGTGGACGATGGGGACGTATCCCTCTTGAGCGTCAGTATGAGGACGCCGAACAGGCGATTTACCACACCCTGCAAAAAACTGATGAGACGAACGACTCATTTCTGGCCAGAGCAGACATCCTGTGGGGCCGTTTGCTGTCCAGGAAGATTACCATCGCGGACTTGCAAGCCTACATAGTGTTGCGCGGGTCCCAGTTGACCGCCGACGAGAAGAAACGGGTGATCATGGACAGTGAATCAACAGGTAGTCTGACAATGAAGAAGGTGAGCGAAGCCATCAGGTTGCTAGGGGTCTCATTTTTTAGGATATGACTGGGAAACGGGTTGGTCAATCGAAGGTGTACGATCAAGCAGCTCTCATCAGTGACTCCATGGATGATCCCAACAATCGAAATTCTGAGGACCCGACATTGATGACAAATGACGAAGGACATGAAACTGAATTTCTGGACAGCACGATTCAGGAAGGTGACCAAGATGCACTTCTCATAGCTGATCTTGAAGCAGCTGCCATGGATTTGATTCAGGAGGATTCTGATCTTGCAGTCGCACTGACAGCATATCAGCAGGCACGACACAAGCTTGCCGAGAAGTTTAGAAACAGGGGCTTCTTTCCATCACGCCCTTTTGGTGGAGGAAAAGGCAAGGGATTTGGACAGAAGTTTGGTGGCAAGGGGAAATCCTCTTTCCATCAACAGCAGTCGAGGAAGTCTCTTCAAGATCGCATCTTGAACAGTTCATGTAGAATATGCGGCCAAAAGGGCCATTGGAAAGCCGAGTGTCCGATGAAGTCAAACGCCCAGTCCACCACATCGTCAAGTGCAGCTCCCACCACGACTCTGGTCACCGAAACCGGAGTGGACAGTCTGCCACTGGAGTTCCTTGGATTGCCAGAGACGAATGTGGAGGAGCTTCAGTTTTGTGCAGTAGATTTTTAATCTGTGATTTTGGTTGCTGCATCGTTTTTTGTAAAGAGATCCAAGTGGATGAGCCCTAGGGGTAAGATTGAGGGGCATGATAGCCAAATTCATTGGGAATCCAACAATTGTACCGTTCAATCTAGTTGGGAAGCTCCACAACACACTTCCGCCAAAGAGCGGACCGCCGATACCTTGCCAGGAGTGATGTCGAACCGCCACAGCATTCGATTTTGCCCACTGAAAGCAGCCTGCCGAGTGAAATTCGCCATAGGTTAGCCATCCGAGGTCAGGCTCACACAGGTCTGTGTCCACTGCAGGTTCCAAGCAAGCACAGGGATGATCCAATTTGTTTTGCCACTCATGATGCCTGTGGAGTGTTGGACCTTGGAGCATCCAAAACCGTAGTTGGATCCGAGCATGTCAGCACTTTGATCCGTAGCCCGCAAAAAAAACAGCCGTTGCGCCTGTCGAATCACTTAGAGAAGTGCATGGCAATGAGGCCACGCTCACAAGCTCGCAAGCCCTGGTGATCCCCATTGAACCCATTGGTAACCTTAGGCTTAAGATAGCCATAGTCCCAGGAGGAACCCCATTTTTAAGTAGTAACACCCTGATGCGTGCCATTCATGCCCAAGTTGATTGTCATAAGAAAACCCTGAGTAGCCCCAAGCTCAGCCGTGACATTCCACTAGGATTGACACCCAAGGGTTTGTTTTTGCTAGACCTCAATGAGCTCGTGAAAGCCTCACGATCCGTGCAGACCCACATGTTCCTCAGCCAACGAAGCTGGTAGAAGAACCTTTCCGAAATCAGTGATCCGCCGAAGCCACATGAGTGCATGTCACCACATGATAGCCTGAAGGCAGAACCAAAGCCTCATGAGATGATGAAAAAAGAAATCACCCATCACATGGAAATGTCTAAGTTGACATTATGCAGTGCTGGAAGCGTGTTTCCCCAGTCCAAGATAGAGCCCGGCCATCAAACCCAGCTTAGGCCATCTCTTTGGACGAAGGCACGGAGGAGGAGTTCGAGATGTACACATCGACCAGCCCATCACCGAGAACCCGGAGTTCAAGGCCATCCAGGAGCGCATGTTGAACCTCGAGAATGCCTTGACCTGAGTGATTCACCATCTCGAGTCCAAGACCGAGGAAGTGCCACAGTAGATCCAGATCCAGACCTGAGAGCGGATCAAGTAGCCGAAGCCTGCGTGACGGTTCACGAAGATGTCCAGCACCTGTGGACCCTGATAGCAAAGATGAACAAGGAATTCCAAGCAGCACAAGACCATTGTCAAGCAATCGGTAAGCCACTTGTTTTGGGTGAAGTTTTCTGCAGCAGTCAATCTCCTTTAACCCATCAGGTCCACCAACTGGAAGTCCAAGCATTTCGCTATGGCGAAGACCAGGGTGACCTAGCCACCACGGATGGTCGTCAGAAACTTTTCCAGAAGATCTGCATTCACCGACCCAAACACCTTTGGTTTAGTCCCACATGTGGTCCGTGGTCGTCCTGGAGTTCACTAAATGCGAGCCGTTCGATAGGCCATATGGAAGAATGCCAACAGAAACGTCATGATCTTCGGTATCAATTAGCCCTGGGTGTAGTGTTGTACCGGTATCAAATACTGCATGGCCCACATGTTCACTGGGAACAACCCTAACGATCCTTGATGTTTCTTCATCCAGGCCTCAATGAGATTCATGAACATACCCGTTACTGCATGTTTGACATGTGTGAAGCTGGACACCTCAGAGACCCCAAAAGTGGAGAGTTCATGAAAAAGGGAATGCATATCCTCACAACACACGAAGAACTGTTTAAGCACCTCCATGGAAGAACATGTCGGGGAGATCACAGCCACCAACACCTGGAAGGTACCATTTGCCAAAATGGACACACCATGCATCGAACAGCATTCTCAGAAATTTATCCAAGGAAGTTTACTCGATCCGTTGCCAAAGTTTTGATAAGCTCTAGGCATTCATGGCCATTCAACTGGCAGACACGACGACTATTGCACGGCTTGACCAATTCAGAACATGTGCTGGTGAACCAACAGGTGCGTGCCAATCAATTTGCAAAGATCCGGAACCGACCAGTGTCTCCGCGATCCCAGCTGAGTGCTCGAGTCTCTGAATCGCCTGAAACGTCCAAGCGAAGGCGCATCGATGGCAAACGGGGCCCAAGACCCAACCTTGCTGATTGTCAGGAAGTTCTACAAGTCCCCAGAGTAGGCAAGGTAGCCATCCATGAAAGTCAAATCATCAACAAACTTCAGGATTTATTCCCTGATAAACAGATCATGGCCATAATAGCATGCCGGGGTACCGATCGCACTTTGGGCCCAGCTAAAGACACCGACAGGAGCTCAGCACCATTCCGAAAGTCCCTGATGATTCTCAGAAGTGATAACAACGTCATGTATGAAAAACACTGGGAACAATGGCCAGAATTGTCCCATCGACAGTTGGTTAGGCCCGCACATGCCTGCCGATTAACTGTGACCATGTTTGCCAAAGATTTCGAGAGGAGTGCTCCATCCACCTTGCCCATGAGAACTGTTGTGTTCCCAGAGCCATCCGAGGGGCCAACCGCACCCAAGCCTGAAGCGTCAGAGCAGCCCAGTTTCGATCAGCCGGAAACTTTTGGATCAGAAAACGAAGTGAATTCTGATCAGCACACCACGACTCCGGCCCCTGAGACAGTGGAAGCCGTTCGACCCCAAAGTGAGCAGCCTTCAGTAAATCCAGAAGTGATCAGAGCTCAGCAAGGTGATGCCTTCAAATCTCTCCCACCATGGGAGCAAACCCAATTGATCCGCATCCATAAGAATCTAGGGCAACCCACCAATGAAAAACTAGCCAATGCTTTGAAGCTTCAAGGTCAGAGACCGGAGGTCATTCGAGCTGCTTTGGAACTTCGCTGTACAGTCTGCGCGGCATGTGCTGCTCCCAAACACCAGCGCCCTGGCAGCCTAAAGAACTTGTTGGACTTCAATCACCGAGTATACATGGATGGCATTAAGTGGACGAAGAAGCTAGGACAGTCATTCCAATTCTATCATGTGTTAGATGCTGGAACCCATTTCCATGTAGCTTTTGTCGCACCATCACATACGTCCAGTGACATCATTCGACTTTTCAGCCAGCACTGGATGAACTGGGCAGGGGCACCTCAAGAGCTCAAAGTCGACTCTGGCACAGAGCTCAACAGCCAGGAGTTTGCCGAATTTAATCAGCGTTTTGGCATTCGCTGTGAAACCACCTGCCCTGAAGCCCATTGGCAGAACGGAAAGATTGAACGTCACGGTGATTTCCTCCAACACATGCTGACCAAAATAGATCTTGAACTCAATATTCAAAATTATACAGACCTGCAACTGGCACTCAATCAATGCACCCAAGCCAAAAATAGCCTGAGTAGCCATCAAGGGTATAGCCCAGAACTCATAGTGTTTGGTAAGCAGAGTAGACTCCCTGGGTCCATTCTCAATGACGATGGAATTCCTTCTCATGCATCAGCAATGCAAGAAGAACAAGAGATGAGTTTCACAAGTTTCAAACAAATGCTCAAACTCCGAGAGGTAGCTCGTCAAGCTTTCCACACGGCAGACAACAGTAGCTCCTTGCGTCGTGCCATGCTGAGACGTTCATGTCCATCGCAAGGACAGTTTGCACCAGGACAGTGGGTCATGATTTGGAGAACACAAGGTCCAAATCGAAAAGGATGGGCTGGGCCTCAAAGAACCATCATCCAAGAATCTGATCATACGGCTTGGACCTCTCAATCAGGTCGACTGTTCCAAAGTGCACCCGAAAATGTGAGACTTGCTCTGCCGGAAGAAGGACACCCTGAGAGTTCCGAGCTTCCCGAAGATCTAACTATGTTGCAGAATCAGATCCGACGCATGAATCAAAACCCCAATAGTTCACCCCCGATAGATGAAGAATAACCCCATAATGACCTCAGTGTTGAAAATACCCAAGAGTTCAGAAAATCCCTTGATGCCCGAGCGTAGAGACAGCCAATCCAGTGAATCTGTAGCCCAACCAGATCATGAACCAGACCTATCATCACGACAACTCTCTCCAGAAGGGGAACCTCAGGACAACTCAGGACAGGAAGATGATCAAAATATCTTCCTTACTAGCTGTGATGAACCTAGTGTCCTGACAACCGGCGTGCCTGAAAATTTCGCCTGGCGAAATGAATATGAGATGACAATCCCTGAGTGTCATCAACATCGGCCACCTTCTCAAAGTTGCAAAGAAGCAGCGATCAGAAGTGCGACTGTCCGAACTCACAGACACCGAACGGGTTGAATTCGAGGTAGCCAACAGGCAGAGGTATCCAACTGGGTAGGCACTGACACCATCAGTAAAATCCTCAAAATTCAAGTTCCATCAGACCAGATACTAAAGTGCCGGTGGATCCTCACCTGGAAACCTCTAGACCAAACCGGCATAGATGCATCCAATAAATCTCAAAGAACCCACAAAGCTAAGGCAAGAATCGTAGTCTTGGGTTACATGGATCCCAACATAGAGAATATCCCAAGAGATTCACCAACAATGAGCAAGACATCACGCATGATGCTTTTACAGATCTTGGCCACGCATCGCTGGGCAATGGAATATTTCGACATAAAGGCAGCATTCTTGCAGGGACAACCACAGGCAGGGAGACTCATTGCAGTCGACCCAGTACCCGAACTCAGACGGGCTTTGGACAACCACATGAGATAGGCCGTCTCAAGAAAGGTGCATATGGACTCATTGATGCCCCCTTTCTTTGGTACAGTGCGTTGGTACAAGAACTCATTCGACTCGGAATGGAAGCATGTCCTTTTGATCCTTGCATATTTGTGTTGAGAGAAGATTCCCATGTACCCGAGCATCCTGATGATCATCCTGATCCAAAGTTTCATGCCAAAGGAAAGATTGTAGGTATTCTCGGTATCCATGTCGATGACGGAATTGGAGGGGGCGGGGAAAAGTTTCAAAATGTTGTCAAGCTACTTGAACAAAAATATCCATTTGGGTCCAAGAAGAGTGAAACATTCACGTTTACAGGAGTAGACATGACACAACAGGGTGACTACAGCATCGCATTAAACCAGTCAGCCTATGTTCGGAAAATATCCCCAATCAATACTGACCCAAATCGCCGCACTCAGCCTGACCTAGCAATCACGAATGAAGAGCAAGGCTTGTTGCGTGGTTTAGTAGGATCCCTTCAATATGCTTCGACAAATACCCGGCCTGACTTAGCAAACCGTCTTTCGGGACTCCAATCGGCCATCAATTCAGCCACCGTGGAAACATTGCTGGAGGCAAACCGATTACTCCATGAAGCCAAGAGACATCATGACCTGACCATCACCATTAAGCCTATTCCCGAAGACCAACTTCGTTTCATGGTGCTTTCTGATAAGTCACATTCGTATGCCGGTAATATCATCGTGTGTACCCATGAGTGTGACCCGATTAGTCCAATATCCTGGGGTAGTAAAAAGATCCAACGGGTAGTTACTAGTACCTTGTCAGCGGAGACTACCTCATTTGCCACTGCCTTGGACCAATTGTCATGGGTAAGATTATATTGGAAACGGCTCCACGATCCCACGACCACCTGGCATAAACCCGATGAAGCTTTATGTAAAGTAGAGCCTGCCATCTCAGTGAACACGGTTCCCTCCGAAATGGACCTAGCTGTTACCGATTGCAAAAGTTTTTATGACTTAATCTCTCGGACTGCTCCCCCAGCGTGTTCGGAGTTTAGAATTCAACTGGTGGCAAGATATATCAAGGAAATCCTGCGAGAAAATATCAACCTTCGCCCTTCGCTGGGTCCACACCGGAGCACAGCTTGCAGACGCCTTGACGAAGGCCATGGAAGCAAGATTTCTCAGGGAGACTTTAAAGCACAGGTTTTACAAACTCCACGATGAACCCGGCACACTCAAAGAGAGAGAGAGAGCGAAAACTCGAGACAGAATACAATGGTTGAAGGGCGCAACCTGAGTTTTGATCAACAAAATAATTTTTGGGAGTGTTATTTTTCCATTTGAACACCCTTGTCCTTCCAGGTTGATCAAAACCGTTCATCTCCAAGGCACCTTGGCTCGAGGCGAGCCACTGGAGGGTGGGTCGTGGACGTGCCTCCCGAGCCATAGCTGCGTAGTGACAGGGTCACTTCCTTTGATAGGATCAGGGCATCCTTGCTTGGCCATCTTGGCACTCCTGGCATTCCTGCCTTTCCGAAAGCTTGGCGTGGCGTAGACTTCGAACCTTGGAACCTCCTGCGGTATCTGGGAAAACAAGCAGCTGACCGTTTTCATCCGGGTGACATCTTGGTTTTGGAACTGCATTCGCATTGGCAGCTGACATTCCCTTTTCATTTACATCAGGCTCACTGACTCTGAGTGTGCTGCCAATCACAATTTACATATATATATATATTTACATATACATATATATATATAATAAGGAAATAGTTAAACAGTTAAAGATTATATACCTAATTTATAATTAGTATAGTTGACGTTTTCACTGAACGATTGACCCCAAGTTCACATCAACCTCCAAAAAAAGTGATGTTTAAATACTTTACTTCGAGTGATCCCCACCCTGACATACTGTTTGGACATTCTATTTTACATTTTATCTGGCATTGTCTCTGGCATTCTCTTTGGCATGTGTTCGGGTCCAGGCGTGCCCAGCTGCATCCGGAGCTGGCAGAGGAGATCAAGACAAGAAAGAGGCGGAGGAGGAGGTGAAGGAGGAGGAGGAGAAGAAGAAGGAGAAGGAGAAGGATTAGAAGGAGTTGCACCGTTGCTAAAATCTAGAGACCCTCACCTGGCAGATGGGGAAAAAAACGACAACCCCAGCCGTCCAAGAAGCATCCACGGAGATCTCGACCAGCGACACGGCCACAATTTGCCGCAACGCCAGGATCGCCCCGAGGAAAACCAACAGTACATGACGCAAAGGGGTCATGCGACGAAGCAGATGGTTGGTTGATGTTGGTTGTGGTTGATGCTGGTTGATGTCTGTAATGTTTTCAGGCTAAGATGTGCATGGTTCGAAGTCAAACGAAGACTAGAGGACTCTGGTTGCTTGGCTCCAGATTTCAGAGATGATTTTGTTCGACCCAAATCTCTGCCTCTGCTGATCTCTGCTTTGTCTTTAGGAAACGACTTTTCTTCAAATCCTTCTCGATTCTCGTCTCATACTCCTCATACGTGATGTTATCCATCCTTGACCCAAGCTGCGCAAGGAGCCAGAACTCTCCCCAAACAAGTTGGGATTGCCACAAGTCCAGCTTGCAGACAAGGGCAACCCAACCATGAAACGCAAAGAGACTCCCTTCTTTCACAAGTATCAAGTTTGGAAGACCGCCAAAAAAAAAACTTGGAACAACTTCCAGTTTCCCCCTCTTACAGCTCAAGGACCAGGAAACCACTCCACATCGGCCTCCAATTCGGCACATAGCCAGCACGGCACCAGCGTCCTGGAACCTGGGCCCCAAAAAATGACAGGAACCCAAAACACCAACCACCATGTTTGGCTTATCCAAATTATCCGAGTTGAAGATCTTTTCCAAGTTGAAGATCTTTAGGGCGTTAGAAAACTCAACAGACAGCGCGGTCACTACAGCTTGTTTTCAGCAACGTCTCGCTGGATTTGGATCCGGTCCAAACTCGATGGCTGCACCCCGTAGCATAGTCCTGATGGGGATATCCCCAATAAGATATTATCCATCAATATCTTATCTATAAATACATATAATTATGTTGGTGGGCCTCTGGGATATCCAGTTTTAAGCACACCGGACTGTGAGCAAGTATTCTGTCACGCACGTGTCCTTTCCCTTCCAGTCTGGCAACCCCGGCACGCTCAGCGTCACCCTTCTTCCCTGTGGACCGACTCCCACGAATGTGGGCCGGAAAAACAGGTGAGATGGAGTAATCCAAATGCCAATGATGGGTGATTTTCCCATTAAAACCTGCATTTTCAGGGGATTTCCCAATTAGACATGACATTGTTCGATGACACCGGAAGGTAATCCAAATATATAAATCCAAATGATAGAATTGATAGAAAAGGCCATGTCACTAAACAATCTTCCAACTTACGAACCACTCTCTCTCCCTCTCTCTAGCTCTCTCTCTCACCCTCAGCTGCACGCATGGATCTATAGGAGTAACATCTCCAAGAACCACTGGTTCAGGTGATGTTTGGAATCCCCAAAAATTGGACGTTTGGCAAGTTAAGTATTGATTACCCGTTCTATACCCATTACTAACCCATTACCCTCCGGTGATCAAATGTGGCAAGTGAAAATCCTCTTTGTTAATGCTGTTTACAGCTGGGAAAATCATCGTATCCATGTATCTCCCATGCTTCATGGACGTTTAAGAAGCTCTATATTTATTATATATATATATAAGAAACCCATTCTACACCCATTGAATCCTCTGGTAATTTAACAGAGTTATGGAACATGGCCCATTTATAGATGATTTGCCTATCAACTTAAATGGTGATTTCCCATATCTGTGTTACCTTAAGGGATCTGAAGGCTATCCA